ATGCTGCCACCACCGTGCTTCACATCATGATGCTGCCACCACCATGTTTCTCATCATGATGCTGCCACCACCGTGTTTTACATCATGATGCTGCCACCACCATGCTTCACATCATGATGCTGCCACCACCGTGCTTCATCATGATGCTGCCACCACCGTGCTTCACATTATAACACTTTTTTTTTTGCCACTCTTCCATAAAGCTTTGACGAATGAAGAACAGACAACAGCTGATGTATGTACAGTCCAAATAAACTTTTCACAGAGTGTCTTGAGGTGTTCTTTTGTCTTCATGGTGCAGTTATAACCAGAGTACCGATTCACCAGTGACTGGACCTCCCAGATACAGGTGTCTTTATACTATGTTGTGGAAATGAGGCTGATGTAGGATGAGGAGCCCGACACAGAGAGACCCACCGAACAACTCAGATGACTTAGGTTGACGTAGGCTTTACTGATATCAGGAGAAGTGATGTAATGCCAGCATCAATTCTACAGATCCCTCTCACATCCTTAGTCTTATATCCTCCTTCAGTAGGAGCCACATCCAGATTAAAGGGAGGAAGGGAAACAAAGATAAGTCGGTGGCTGGGTGCAATCTGGCCTTGAGAGGTGCAGGGAGTGCCTGCCTGTCCTCCTACAATGTGGTTTACATGAGGTTAAGCATCTATAGAAGTTACATCTGCGACAAGCACTACATTTACCTCAGGAGGTCAATCAGGGTTCAATATCTTCTCTAAAAGATTAACTCCAAACCAGGAAAGTCATTTTTCCTTCACAATCACTGAGACGCATTCACGGCACTCAGATGATCTTTACTTCACTACCTGAGTGACTTCCAGCACCAACTTTTTGTACCTTTGTTCAATTAGTTGAGTCACTTAAAAGCGGGTGAAAACTGCTGCATCATGAACAACACGTGTGAGCTCAGTTATGTTATCGATGTTTTTACCGTGTGGCAGCTGGACAGGTAGCGGCACAGATGAGTGACTCTTCTCTCCGTGGCCCAGCTGCCCTTGTTCACCACGTCCAAAGGAAAACACCTTCCCGGAGTCTGTCAGCACCAAAGTGTGATCCCTGGTGGAGGAAGCAACGGACCACTAAGCATATTTGTATTGTGCAGTCGTATCTGCACGCAGCTGCAAACGAAACACCAAAAGCTTTGTTTGTACCTCCCACATGCCACCCTGCAGACCTTCGCCCCCCAGAGCTCCGCCACCAGCCGAGGTCGCAGCTCGTCCCGCGTAGAGTTGTGTCCGAGCTGCCCGAACCGACCGGATCCAAACGTAAACACGGCGCCGTCCTGAAAACCAGACAGTTCACATGTACACATCAGTGGAGTCTAACGAGGAAACGTGGGGTTTGTGCACACAAGAAGTAACCAGGTGCTCCTCAAGACGTGTCCCAGTCATCAGTGTAGCATTTAACACTGAACCGTGTCTAATAAATGACTTCTTTCAGTGTTTTAATTCTTCTTTTCCACCTCGTTTTTTGTTTCTCCTGCTACACAATGTGTCTCTGTGAGGCGGTTTAACTGTGAAAACTGTTAGTGGAAAAAAATAATAGGCAAAACTCAGCTGAGATCAGTTTTCTTTGTTGTTGAGATTATTAATGTTTAGACTTCAGCTGATAAAAATAGAGATTTATTAAAATGATATCCATTAAAGTCTGAAGATTATATTGTTTAATTGTCATTTCAGGCAAACTATAGATCAATTTGTCCAATTTTTGAGTTATTTTAGAGAAGTTTTAAAGCATTTTAGACAGAATAGGAGTCATTTTTGGAACCTTTTGTCATTTTGGAAAGTAACTGGCATTTATTTTGGCTCATTTAAGACTTTTCTTTTTTGTAATTTTGGACAATTTGTAATTAATTTTGGCAAAACTAAGACAGAACACACATTCAGTGTACCAGTGTTTGTTTCTGTCGCTCTTTGTCTTTGAAATGTTGATATTTAAAGTTGGTCATAAAATTTAATGCAAACGTTTTGAGTCATTTTGGTGAATTTTTAACTAATTTAGGACGTGTTTCTAACATATTTAGATGATTTTATAACATTTGGATCAAGTTTTGAGTGTTTTTGGAGCACTTCTGAATCATTTGAAAAGTTTTGTTTTTGTATTTTGGAAAAGTTTCAACACATGTTGGACAACTTACGGGTCACTTTCTGTAACTTTTTGTCATTTTGAAAAGGTAAGAGGCAATTTGCATGTATGTATATTCAATCATCTCAGTGTGTCTCTGTTTGCTTTTACTGGTTTTGATTTTCTGGTTTTAAAAAAAAGAGAAATGTGAACACTTTACAACATTGAGAGAGTTCATTTTTGTGGACGAACCTTGGTCAGGATGGCGGTGTGTTCCTGTCCGCAGGAGATGTGAACAGTTTTCTTCATGTTCAGGCAGCGAACAGGAGTCGGTGAGCTTCTGTCTGCAAGAGAGAAATTTAAAATAAGTTTACATGTTGTAGGAAAAAGTAAATGTGCTGCTTTTGCTCCAATCTGTTGCCAGTTTTGCCTCAATGTAAACAGTGGCAGTAGACAGAGATGGAAAATAATTCACTGACTCACTACACAAAATGCACTTTCTAAATACATTTTCCATAATCGAGTCTGAGTGTTAATATCATGGAATACATCAGAGTTTCAACAGCGAAACCAGTTTAATGTTTTTCCAATAACAGAAAGAAGCATCAGATGTGTTTAAGTTTGGCTAAAGTTACTCAAAGATTGTCCAAAATGACTTAAAATATATCCAGAATACAAAAAAAAACCTTCTTTTAACTCAAACATTGGCTAAAATGAGCTATAATTTGCCCAAATTGACTCAAAAATAGTCCAAAAAGACTCAAAATGTGATCAAAGTGACACGAGCCCATGAGCAAAATTAACCAAAATGACTCAGAACTTTGCAGTGAATTTTGAGAAACCATGATGTTGCCACCGCCGTGCTTCACATTATGATACATCATCAATATTATGGGATGTGTCACAGTTTGAAGAGTAAATCTGCACCAGTTTAATGCCTCTCTTATACCTGCATCTGACACCAGGATAATCTTCCAGACATGAGTCCTCATGTTGACACATTCTGACTTGATTCTATTGATTCAGTGAATTAAAACTACAACAATTAACAGTTATGAAAATACACGGTTTAGGTGTTGTTGAATGTCTATACAAGAAATATATTGTGACACATGAAGATTTATTTTTTTAAGAGAACAATTTTCTTTCTTTCCTCTGGACCCACTTCTATGTACTTTAAAGGCCTGAAACTGAAAATATTCTCAGTATAAAAGTGAAATTTCACATAGTTTCATTAAATATACTGAAGTGAATAAAACATCAGCTGGTTCTGAACGGGTCAGGTGGGATCTTTGGTTTTAAAATGGAACGACCCAGTGAGGAAACAACAACGTTAGGCGGTGGATATGTGAACCTGTGGTGTCTCCGAGGCCCAGCTGTCCGCGGTGGTTCCTGCCCCAGCCGAACACGCCTCCAGAGGCCGACAGGACGAAGCTCTGGTCTCCTCCTGCAGCCACCTGGACCAGAGGCATCGCCGCCAGAGTCGGGACGGCTCGAGGCGAACCGTCCCGGGCCCATGTGAACACCTGACCGCCTGCAGAGGAACAACACGGACCTTTAACACAGATTACACATTAACATCTATCATCAGCTGGCTGTCATCTGAGCCGTTGTTGGACTTTGGTCTGCTTTTGCCACCATGTTTTCCCACCGGGTCAACTTGATCTGTTTTCTTATCAGCACAACATTGACATATTGTTTTTAAAATGTATTTGTGGGTAATAAAGTTGACTGCATTAAATAACAGAAGGCTAATTTTAAATGTTCCAGTGCAGGATTTATTCTGGCTGACGATTCAGTTCTGGTAGGAGAGGATAAACATAGTAAAAGCTATGTCCAAACCAGTATAATGATTGGTAGGCAAATACTTGTTAGAAGATGGAAGACGGAGGGGGTGCCCTCTCTCCAAGAGTGGGCTGTGGAGACGACACGAGTCGCAGCATTTGAAAAAATGTCATATAAACAACTGGGTAGATTGGACCTATATGAAGCAAAGTGGGGCAAATATGTAAAGTTCTTAGGGGGGTTCCTGATTTGGGGTACATGGTGGAGAGAAGTAAGCTGTCATTTTTGTGAGAAAAAACAGAACAGTGCTTCTTATTTGTTTGCACTTTACTCAGCTATTATTGCCTTTATTTCTTCATTTGTTGACCAATTATTTCTTCAATGTAGTGATTATTTTGTGTTGTGTTAACCTTGTCTGAAATCATTTTCTGTGTTTAAATTTGAAGATAAATATTTTGTATTCTGTCTACATTGATGCAGGCTGTGTAGCTGTAATAGCTGTACATGAAGGAGCACAGTGGTGGATGTTGGTAACCAGAAAGGGATCAGCATAGATGGTGGTGACCTGGGAAGGGTTTGTTGGTGGGGGGTTACTGTTACCGTTGTATTGTTGAAATAAAGCAATGAAAATAAAAATTGTTAATCACAAAAAAAAATGTTCCAGTGCAGCTAATATGTCCTACTAGAGCGGTACATAAGGTAAAATTTAGATTAGTGAATTTTATTTTGAAAAGCCAGCATATTTCATAAGCTGATTAGTTCCTTTTAACATCGCTGAGCTTTTATTTTGAAAGTGCATCAATCATCCAATCAGCTGTGAGTCAGTGCAGTGAGCAGAGCAGCAGACTGAGGATCAGACCCTCCAACAAACGCTCACAGCTCAGAAACTAAAAGTCGGATCCAAGAAATTCTTTCACCGTGTGAAGCTTAAGCTTGTTGTGAACAAGTTTGTGTATTTTCACAACTTTATTCTCATAAAATTACGACATTTTTCTTGCGATATTACAAGTTTTTTCTTGTAAAATTATGACTTTAATCTTGAAGTCTGTGGAAAAATGTTTTTCTTAATGAGGCCCTCTGTCCTCTGTCGTAAAGCAGAAACACAAGTTTATAAGTCGATGAAGGTTTTTCTTTTAAGTCTGATGTACTTCATTACAATAATTCTAAACACAAGCATTTAAGTTGTTTCAAAGGTTAGTAAGATTAAACTCAAGGTGAAGAAAAGCCAATTTTGTTGAGTTACTTCAACCTAAATTCAGTTTTAAATCAACTAGTGCAGAAATTTGAGTTCAAACTACTCAAAATATTGAGTTGATGCAACGACCAACAGTTGGTTTTTACCCACGTATCTAATGAAACGGTGGCAGATCACAGCGGTAGATTGTACATCGTTGTTGTTATTGTTGTTATTATTGTTGTGTACCTCTTGTGAGGACGACGGTGTGCCGGCTCCCACAGGCCACCTGACACACCGGGACGTTCCTCAGAGCTTCTGGAGTTCTGAAACGGAAGAAACCGGCAGAAGTTAAACCCTCAACTGGCAGAGTTTGGGCTCCATGCGGCTGATGTTTTATCCACACTCACCTCGGTATGAAAGGAGTTTGCGTCGTGTCCACACAGGAAACGAGGCCGCTCTCCGACAGCAGCGTGACGGAGGCGTCGTCTCCACAACTCACAGCTTTGACCTTCCCCTCAACAAACTCTGTGGGTTCACAGCAGCAGGTGTCAGCAGGAGAAACAACCAAGATAGTCATAGAACCTGGTTGATGCAGCAGCCTGCTGCTTTTATTTGTTTTATTTAAATTTTTTATTTCATTCATTGAGTTAAAACAATTAAACAAACATTCTCAACTCCTGAATGAAAGGCAGCAGAAAGAAGGATAATCTGATGTTATCTTTACCCAAAGAAATTAATTTACATCACAAAAAGCATCAACAACAACACAATAAACATCAAAACAATCATAACAAAAACAATAATAATAACATGAACTAGCCGTCCTTCACACCTGACAGTCACGTTTTACTTCAGATACATTATCTTTAATGCTCTTTACAGACATAATGAACATGTCTCCTCAACATAGTGGCTTTAATTGTTCTTTTAAATGTAAATACTGATTTTGATTCTTTGCTTTCTTTGTTCAGTTTGTTCCATAAACTGATTCCTTTCACACAAACACAACTCTGCATCACTTCTGTTCTGAATCTGGCTTTTGTTCCTTTTACATCACACTAAGTTTCTGTTTTCTGAATGTCTGTAGGTAATAGTAATGCTCACTCTGTTTCCCCGTCGCTCTTCGTCCTCCTTCGTCTGTGCGGATCACGGAGGCGTCTCCGCTGGTTTTGATGAAGGTGATGACACTGGAGCCGGCTGACAGATCCCTGAGCTGGAAGCTGAGGTTTAGGAACCGAACCGCGTCTCCAGGCGGGACGTTGGAGGCTTTCTTCAGGCGGAAGCCCTGATGTCTGTCGTCTCCCCACGAAAACATGCTGGTGAAGTGAGTGTGCAGAGCCCGGAGCTGATTTTTTATCACTCAGCTGTGAGGCAGAAACGAAACCTGATTGGTTTATGATGCAAACTCCCTCCACTCTGAGAGAAGAAAACCTGGCGACACGCCCAGTGAGTCGGTTCAACGAGAGGAGTTTCGTTTGTGGTGGAAAAGGGAAAACGAAAGAGAAAGTTGATAGCTGCTTGACTACAACAGAGTTTAGCTTTCGAAGAGAAAACAACAACTACTGGTATTTCCCTTCATCCCTGTACAAATATGTGTTGTTACTATCAGAACTAAAACCCAATCATGTTTAGGATGTTGTTAGAAAAAAAGAACACAGAACAGTAACCAAGAAAGTATAAAAACAAACAGTGTTCATAGAGGATATGTTCGAAATTTACATATATGTAAATTTAGGACATAGTGAATTTACATATGGACATGTGCAGCTATGACCAGCTGAATTTACAGTTTTGCCATGGAGGATAGAGTTCCCATAATTCTGTTATTGCAGTAAAAAAAAATGTTTTTGTGAATATTGTTTGTAATGTTTTGAACACAGAAATTTACCATAAAATGTTTTAAAAAAAATAAAAACAAACAGTGTTCATAGAGGATCCTTGGATTTATGAGGTTTTATGTATATTTTAATGTATATTTTATATTTGTTGTAATAAATATTTTATGTATATAATATTTAAATATACATATTTTTGTTCATTTTTGTCATATATATTTTATACATGTATTTTCAAATATACATATTTTTAGATACATATTATTTAAATGTATTTTTATGAATATTTTGTACATTTTTGGAATTCATGTTTACAATTCTACAATTTCATTTAGCTTTTATCCAAAGCGACGTACATCTGAGAGCAGATACAAAACAAGCCAGGATCTAATCAGGAGAAAACCATCTGGATTAGTGCAGTAGAACAAGTTCAAGTGTGACGGGGCGTTGATGCCAACTGCAGGCTGTAGGGAGGTAATAGGGTTTTGGTTTTTTTTGTTTGTTTTTTTGTTTGTTCGTTTTTGGGCAGTCAAGTGCAAAGGTGTTCAGTGAAGAGCTGGTCTTTAGTCTTTAAGAGGGATTCAGCAGATTGAACAGAGTTTGGGAACTCGTTCCACCACCGCGGAACCACAGAGGAGAAGAGTCCAGCTATCGACCCGGGGCCCCGTTGTGGTGGTTGGATCAGGCGGTTTTTGTTGGTCGAGCGTAGTGAGCGGGAGGGAGTGTAGACCTGAATGAGAGAGTTCAGGCAGGAGGGAGCTGGTCTCGTTGTGGTTTTGTGGGCAAGTGTCAGGGTTTTGAATTTGATGCAGGCAGCAGCTGGAAGCCAGTGAAGCGATCTGAACAGCAGGATGATGTGCTGCTATTGGCTGGTTGAAATCTAGACATGCTGCTGCATCCAGGACCATCTGCAGAGGTCTGACCGTGGATGTGGGAGGCCTGCCAGGAAGGAGCTGCAGTAGTCAATATGATAAGAGCTTGTACCAGGAGTTATGCTGCATGTTCAGACAGGAAAGGTCTGATCTTCCTGATGTTGTACAGGGCAAATCGACACGACCGAGCAGCAGAGGCCACATGAGCCTTGAAGGTTAGTTGGTCATCAATCATGACACCCAAGTTTCTGGCAGATTTTATGGGTTTGACTTTGGTTGAATCAAGCTGGATGTTGATTTCTTGTTTTAGGAGGGACTGGCTGGGCTGACAAGGAGCTCAGTGTTAGAGAGGTTGAGCTGAAGGTGGCGTTTCATCATCCATGCCGAGATGCTGGCAAGGCATGATGAGATCTGGGCAGAGACCATGTGGTCGTCCGGGGGGAGAGACAGGAAGAGCTGGGTATCATCAGCATAGAGATGGTCTGAGAAACCATGGGCTTGGATCATTGCACCGACTGAGGTTGTGTAAATTGAGAAGAGAAGGGGACCAAGCACTGACCCTTGAGGAACCCCTGTGGACAGGCTGTGTGGTTCGGACAATTCTCCCCTCCAGGATACTCTGAAGTATCTTCCTGAGAGGTAGGACACAAACCAGCAGAGGGCAGAACCTGAGATGCCCAGCTCAGTGAGTGGTCAGATAAATAGTCAGGTAAACAGGATTTTACATTATTTTTTTGTAGGGTTTCAATCCCTATTATGATAATGTCGAATCCGGAACTTTTTCATAAATAAAAAATTCATTTGTCCTTAAAATTTCAGTTTTTTGTTTTGTTCTGTTATTTTGCAGATATTTAAGAAACATAAATGTCCTGGTTTTATTGGTTGGTTTTATGATATAATATTCATCTATCTTAAATAAACATAAACTAACAACGTGTCTCCCGTTTTTTTTCCCGACACGATTCACCTGTTTGACAAACACCACCCGCCTGCCTGCTGCTCCCGGAGCCATAAAACGAGCGCTCCTCTCACTGTTTGGTTTACCAGCACAACTGGTCTCTGCTTTCACTTCCCTTTACACCCGTTCTGTCTTTCATGCCTTGTAATTTTTTGTATCCTGAATGTCTGCATTCGTCTTTTAGCTGCCTGACGTGTTCATCGGGACGCACTGAGGCCTTTTTCTGGTTTTCTGGAGACTTTTAAACCCCCCAAAGTCCTGCAGGAGCCACAGAAAGACAGTTTTCATCACTGCAAGAGGAATAAAAGCCACCGTGAGGCTTTTAAATACCAACGTAACCAACGTCACCCAGAGAGGATGGAGCAGGACGTCTGATTCACCGGGTTGTGGATCAGCTGTTGGACCTGATGGCAGAAGCAAACGGGGACATCATGGCTCCAGGTTCAGTTAGTTTCTCATGTCGTTTCCACTATTTTATCTCATTTCATCGTTAAACAGAAGCTGCTGACGGACAATTCTGCATATTTAGTTCTCCAAAATAATGACAGACAAGCTAAAAACGAGACAGGCTCATGTTGGTGTCTGTTTACTGTAAAGGTTNCAGCAGAGGGCAGAACCTGAGATGCCCAGCTCAGTGAGTGGTCAGTTAAATAGTCAGGTAAACAGGATTTTACATTACTTTTTTGTAGGGTTTCAATCCCTATTATGATAATGTCGAATCCGGAACTTTTTCATAAATAAAAAATTCATTTGTCCTTAAAATTTCAGTTTTTTGTTTTGTTCTGTTATTTTGCAGATATTTAAGAAACATAAATGTCCTGGTTTTATTGGTTGGTTTTATGATATAATATTCATCTATCTTAAATAAACATAAACTAACAACGTGTCTCCCGTTTTTTTTCCCGACACGATTCACCTGTTTGACAAACACCACCCGCCTGCCTGCTGCTCCCGGAGCCATAAAACGAGCGCTCCTCTCACTGTTTGGTTTACCAGCACAACTGGTCTCTGCTTTCACTTCCCTTTACACCCGTTCTGTCTTTCATGCCTTGTAATTTTTTGTATCCTGAATGTCTGCATTCGTCTTTTAGCTGCCTGACGTGTTCATCGGGACGCACTGAGGCCTTTTTCTGGTTTTCTGGAGACTTTTAAACCCCCCAAAGTCCTGCAGGAGCCACAGAAAGACAGTTTTCATCACTGCAAGAGGAATAAAAGCCACCGTGAGGCTTTTAAATACCAACGTAACCAACGTCACCCAGAGAGGATGGAGCAGGACGTCTGATTCACCGGGTTGTGGATCAGCTGTTGGACCTGATGGCAGAAGCAAACGGGGACATCCTGACTCCAGGTTCAGTTAGTTTCTCATGTCGTTTCCACTATTTTATCTCATTTCATCGTTAAACAGAAGCTGCTGACGGACAATTCTGCATATTTAGTTCTCCAAAATAATGACAGACAAGCTAAAAACGAGACAGGCTCATGTTGGTGTCTGTTTACTGTAAAGGTTCGCATGTGTTGTTATACCTTTCATTTAAGTCATCCGTCATGGAAATTAAAATCAAGGCTACTTCTATGTCGCTTTTGTCTGAAACACTGATAACATCACAGTTTGAGGTGTGTCTCCTGTTTCATCATCTGGGTGTTATGAGGAACTGTAACTTCCATGCTATGGATTGTTTTTCACAGTGTGGTAAAGGATCATTGACCAACAGTAACGCAAAGTTCAAAAATCCCCAGAAAACCACAAACTCGTCTTTCAACATTTTTGTTTGTATCTTGATTAACCGATCCAGAGCATGCTCATCTGAGCATAAGACAAGCCACCAGATGGAGCTTGTTTCTTCTGCACAGAGCCAGATTAGTTGTTTCCCCTGTTTGCAGTCTTTATGCTAAGTTAAGCTAACATATACCCCTAGCTAGGCTAGTTGTTTCCTCTATTTCGTTATTTTTGCTAACCTGAGCAAACTGCTTCCCATTTCCAGTCTTTATGCTAAACAAAGAAAACCAGTTCCCCCTGTTTTCAATCTCTATGCTAAGCTAAGCTAGCTATTACCCTTTTTTTCTTTTTGCCTTTATGCTAAGCAAGGCTAACTATTTCCAGTCTCTATGCTTACCTAACCCAAGCTACTTATTTTCTTTTGTTTCAAGCCTTTATTCTAAGCTATTTGTTTCCCCCATTTTCGGCCTTAATGCTAAGCTAAGCTAGCTGTTTGCCCCCATTTACAGTCTTTATGCTAAGCTAGCTGTTTTCCTTGTTTCCAGTCTTTATGCTAAGCTAAGCACGCTGTCTCCCCCTCTTTCTCGTCTTTATGCTAAGTGAGTTGTCTCTGGTCTTTATGCTGTTACCTCTTTCCTTTGTTTTCATGATCGATGCTACGCTAATTTAGGTGTTTTCCTTGTTTCCAGCCTTTGTGTTAACTTAAGCCGCCTGTTTCAATTGTCCCCCATCTTTATGCTAACTTAAGCTAGCTGTTTCTCATTTCCAGTTTTTATGCTAAGCTAGTTACTGCCAATCTTTATGCTGAGCAATGCTACCTATTTACGATATTTATGATAAGTTAAGCTACCTGGTTCCCTTGTTTCCAGACTTCATGCTAAGCTAAGCTAGCAGTCATGTCCTGATATTGTGGTTTGTTTTGCTTCTGTGTGTTGATGTGTTTTCAAATTCACATTCCCAGTTTAACCTGAAACCCTCAATAGACCGTTATTAGACACATAAAAGCATTTCCACAGATTGTGACGACTGTTTGTGTTAATGTGTATTAGGTGACCTTCCCAGTGACTCCAGTTTAACCACTAAGGAGCTACAGCAGAACTGGAGGGAGGTGAAGAGGAACGATCGACCCGTCAGGCTGCTGTTTGTAATCCCATCGAGTCGCATTGTTGAGCACGCGCTGAGCAAATATGTGGTGAGAATCTGAAACACATCTGCGACGCATCTATGTGTAACGTGACACATAATCAGTGATCATTCACCTGTCAGGTGATACAGATAACAGATATCAGTACATGTACATCAGATAACATTTAGTAAAGCTGCTGGAAATGCTGTTGGACTGAAGCAGCAAAACCAAAAACTCTCAGTAGTAGTTCACTTCATAGACTTGAAAAGCTAAGCTAGGCTACCTATTTCTCCCTGCTTCCAGTGCTGATGCTAAGCTAGTATACGGAATCCACCTGTTCCCTTTCTTTCTGTTAGAGTGAGCTTGCTGTTCACAGTCTTTATGCTGGGCTAAGCTAGCAGTCTTTCATGGTTTCTGTCTTAAGGCTAAACTAAGCTAGTTGTTTCTCCTTGTTTGTAGTCTATTAAGCTAAGCAAGCTTTTTTCCCAGCTAAGGTAGTTGTTTCAAGTCTTTATGCTAAGCTAAGCTAGGTATTTCCCTTGTTTCCAGTTGTATTACTATGCTAAGCTAGCTGTTTCTCCCCTTTTCAGTCTTAATGTGGAGGTAAGCTAGCCATTTCCTTTTTTCCAGTCTTTATGCTAAGCTAAGGTAACTGTTTTCTAATTTTCGGTTTGAATGATAAACTTATCTATTTGTTTATCCCTGTGTCCACTCATTAATGCTAAGCTAAGCAAGCTGTTCCCACTGTTGGGAACAGTGTCTAAATGCCTAACTAAGATAGCTGTTTTTCCATAGCTTTTTCCTAGCTAAGGTAGCTGTTACCCATCTTTAAGCTAAGCTAGCTGTTTCCAATCTTTATGCTAAGATAAGCTAGCTGTTTCCCCCATTATTAGTTTTAATGCAAAGCTATCGATTTCCCTTGTTTTCAGTCTTTATGTTGAGGTAGCTGTTTCACAATTTCCAGTCTTTATTCTAAGCTTATCTGCCTGTTTATTCCTGTTGCTAGCCTGTATGCTAAGCTAAGTTGGATATTTCCTTTGTTTCTAGTCTTATTGCTACGATAAGCTAGCTGCTTCCTCCGTTATCAGTTTTAATGCAAAGCTAAGTTATCTCTTTCCCTTGTTTTCCATCTTTATGTTCAGGTAAGGTAGCTGTTTCCCAATTTCCAATCTTTATTCTAAGCTTATCTGCCTTTTTATCCCTGTTGCTAGCCTCTATGCTAAGCTAAGCTAGTTGTTTCCGCCATTTCCAGTCTCTATGCTAAGCTAAGCTAGCTGTTGCCCCATTTGAAGTGTTAATGCTAAGATAAGCTAGCTATTTCCCTTGTTTTTGGTCTTTATGTTATCTGTTTCCCAACGTCCAGTCTTTGTGCTAAGCTTAGCTACCTGTTTAGCCGTGTTGTTAGCCTTTGTGCTAAGCTAAGCTAAGCTAAGCTAGCTATCTTGGCTCCTCCTGAGCTCCATCCTGTAGTTTCACTGTAGAAACTATGGATTAATATTGTACTTTTGGAAGCTGAAGCTGAGACACCAGAGTTAGCAGAAGAACTCTGACTCCTGGTTGTTTTCTTTGGTTTTCCTCAGTTGGAGCTGATGAACTCTGAGCTGACAGTGACTCAGGTGTTCCTGGATCCTGGAGGAGGAGGAGGAGGAGGATGAAGGTGTTGTAACGCTGTCCTGCTTCCTGTTTGCCTCCAGGTCTACCAGGTGGTGGTGATGCGCTCCGGCAGCTTCGACTCCCGCCGGGTGTCGGTGGAGCGCCGCTACAGCGACTTCTTGTCCTTCCACCACAAGCTGCTGCAGGAGTTCGGTGAGGAGCTGGAGGAGGTGGTTCTGCCCCGCAAGCTGCTGACGGGCAACTTCAGCCCCGACAACATCCAGGAGCGACGCCTGGCGCTGCAGGACTACCTGGCCAAGCTGTTCGCCGCCCGCTGCGTCCGGTACTCGCACCACCTGGCCGCCTTCTTCACCGAGCAGGAGCAGCGGCGAGGCCACAGTCTGATCCGGGCCGGCCAGTTCAGGGCGGCCGTGGAGCAGCTGCAGACGGTGCTGGAGATCCAGGAGAAGCTGCTGCCGTGGCAGAAGCCCACCCTGGTGGTGACCACGCTGTCCGCCCTCGCCGTGTGCCACCGCGACCTGGACGAGCCGGAGCAGGCGTTCGGCAGCGCCCACAGAGCCCTGCCGCCGGTCCGCCGCTACGGACTGAAGCACCACCGGGCGGCGCTGCTGGAGCTGCTGGTGGATGTGGGCTACCAGCTGGGCCGGCCGGTGGCCCAGCTGCAGGAGGAGCTGAGCGGCCTGAGGGACGCCGAGAGGGGCGAGGCCTACTGCCGGTCCCTGAAGGAGCTGGTGATCCACGAGTTCCTGTGAGGACCCTGAAGACAGGAACAGGTCTTCATCTGGATGGACTTCATCAACACTTTACTGCTGATTTACGGATTTTCCCGCTTTTGTTAAACTACAGATAATAACTATTAAAATAACAGTAAAACTATTGAGCTTGTATTCTGTAAATCTGCAAAAATATGGTTGTTTTAGAAACACTAGAAAATGAAGGACTGAAGAATGATCAATACATTTTTAACTGTTGTCTGTTTTGTTAAATCACTGATTAAAACTGATAAAATGACAGAAAGACTATAAACTTACATGTTGATTGTAAAAAACAAAAACACAACAATAATAGAAACAAGCCAAAACTGTTCAAACAAACAAACAAACATGATATCTAGTAAAGTTACTGAAAAACTGATTAATTTACATGTTAACTGTAAGAAAAAGTGGCTAAAAGTGTAAATAAAGTCAGACCACAACCATAAGCTATATGTTTCTAAAAATGGTAATTTGACCATAAAATTACACTTAAAACAATAATAACAATAAAAATTCAGCAAAATATGGTTTGTTTACTGACACGAGAATAAAATGGATGGAAAAATAGCACAAAAAAAAAAAAACTCAGTTATTTTACAGACTTTCCTGCTTTTCTTAAATTAGGGATAATAACTAGTAAAATCACAGGAAAACTATTTATTCTTTGCCAATTTTTTCTTTTAGATTGATTGACCATGAAATTACACTGTCTATATATATATATATATTAAAATCTGCAAAAGTAAAGTTATTCTACACTAGAAAATGAAGGATTGTATATTTCTAACTGCATTTTACAAATTCCCCTGTTTTGTTAACATACAATGAATAAAACACTTTTCCTATGTAGACATATCTTAACACTTCATTACTGTAGTCTTAAATCAGTGAGTAAATAGAATGTCAGATTTTACATTTTATGTGTCAAAGGTTGTTCCTACAGTAGAGGAACATTTTTCCACAGAGCGAATTGTGTCTAGAACGCTCTGTTTAAAGCTTTCTATGGTGGATTATTAGAAAACAGAAACACATCCAGGGTACCAATGATTGTTCCTGTGAGTTTATATTGATGAAGTTATGAGGCTCAGGAGTGATGGAAAAATAATAACAGGAATTAAACATTTTGACCCACATCTATGTACGTTGAGGACCTTTAACTGTGAAAATATTCATCGTATTCATCACTGTTGCA